CATTGTATGAACATTGGAAAACAATAACACATTATCGTACTAAAAACAATATGAGATGAGAATTATAAGAAATACATGATAAATATAAAAAAATCCCTACATTCTGTACATATGCATATACGTATATAATAAATACACAGATATACACATGTAAACATGCATGTATCTGTAATCATACAAAATATATGATAATAATTTTAAAAAGAGCACAAATTTATGTAAATGCTGAGGCTAAAAGAAAGCAAAAAAATATGTTTATTTATTAACAGTTTATTGCTCTGAAAATAGTTTGGTTCTGTGTTTTTGACCTCTGTCAACTTTCTCAGACAGAAAAGTAAAAAAGGGGGGACCCCCTCACTCAGCCAATCGGCTCTCAGCCTCACAGGGCTCTTTCTTACAAGTATGCGAAAGATGAAAGGTTTTCTATTAAGGTGAAGACAACATGATGTTGTCAGATTTGAAAAGACTCTTTCTGGTTGGAAAAACAAAACGGATTATTTAAGGACTGTCAGGGTTGTTTTATGAATGGCAAAAGAGTATCTAGAGGTGTCTTTAGCCCCGTTTCCACTAGCCCTTCTCAACTTCTCTTCTCTACTTGGCTTTACTCTACCTAGTTGTGTTTCCAATACACTTTGGTATCCGGTACGGTATCCGAGAAACACTTTAATACTGGCTCGGTCTGGTTAGAAACAGGGCCAAGTAAGAGCCAAAAATAACGTGGCACCAGTTAAACATAATTTGACAAGAAGCAAATGGATTTCTATTACAGTATACCTCTAATTGTATTGAATTCTAAACACACATACATATCACACACCACAAAATAAAAAAATTATTAAACTAGTTACTCTCAAAACAGCTATACTTTCTATCACTAGTGTTTTACATACATTATTTATGGCCTCATTTTTGAATCATTTTTTAAAAAAAAGTGAAAAAGAGAGCATCACCCTCACTCGGCTCAAAGCATCAAATGGTGGCTCTCAGGGCTCTTTCTTACAAGTATGCAAAAAATAAAATCATTGGATGAAGACAGCGTAAGGTGGTTTGATTTGTTCACAATACTTCCTGTTAGGACAAACTAAATGTATTATTTACACAAGGAAAGCCGGGGAAGTACCACAGCTTTAATTTCTTGAATGTCAGAAGTATCTACAGTGACTGCCTCTTGCTTGCATTTCATTGTCAACTCCTTTTATCGACATTATGCAGTGTCTGGCGGCCTCTAGTGGTTGGTCCATATATTACACGCAGTATTATTTGAATGGTATTAATTACACCACAACAAGTTTGTATTTAACTATCATAAATTCCGGGACTAAAAAAGTTCCAGTTGTACAGTTTCTCAGTGGGTTCGCTTTACAAGAGAGGACTGTTATCATAGAAGTGAAGAGAATATCAAAATGTTGCTTATGACAGACTACAGAAACTTTTAAATCAATCAATCAACATTTCATAGAGAATGCAACCAAAAGTGATTCACATTGACAACATTTAAAAAACACATGCAACATTTCAAATAACACAAAAGTAATGATTATATAAATAAAAATGACAATCGGCTGCCTGATTATTATCAGTCATGGGCACGGCTAAAAATAACCGTTTTCATCCTGGAACACTGCATGGGGAGCCATGTCTTGTCCCAACTTTGGGCACCAGTGGGAAGCCAGAGTTTGAGTTGGTTCATATGGCACTAACAGATGTACTTTGGTGCGAGGCCATGGAGAGACTTGTATCAAACACAGCTGCTTTAAAGTTTATTCTCTGAGCCACAGGAGCCAGTGCAGAGTAGAGAAATCATGTGAAGAATTATACTTGTAATATTTGACCAAAGATATACTTATTGATTGCACAGACACTATTTACAGTCTGATAAGTTTTGTATTTTACTCTTTTGAGTTAGGTTTTCCACTCACTCTATTGTAAATGTTTGCTAAATCAGATAATGGTGGTGTTTGATGTAATGTTTTAGTATCGCTTGGTTGTAAACGAGCCAAAAAGGACAAGAACAGTTTAGAATCCAAATTGCTTTGGCGTTGTGCAACAGTCAGAAAAGAGAGGAAAAGAATAGAGTAAGGCATAATACAAATCAGCATACACTTCTAAGGTATAACATTTTAAATTATTACGAAACATTGAATTATTACGATTACAATTACTATATACAATATAGAAGTGCACATGGTGCACATGGTGCACACATGTGCAGTAAGCAGTGAAGCAGACAGCTGTAAAGTGGGGTACCCAACTTTTATGTCTCCTCTAACTAACACATTTTTTATTTCACAGAAAGATTCTTGGGAAATAACGTAATCAGACCAAAAACATGTGTGAGACAACACTGAGAGCCTGGAACTAGTTTGATGGATTTGATTACACAATGACATGTTTTCAGGTTTGAAAATTAGATACCTCAGCTTTAATAGGACGGCTATTGGCAACCAGTGAGTAAGTAAGTCAGTATACTTTGGCAAGAGCTCTGGTGTGTACTATCTTCTCTGTCTGGTGCACACTGGGGTAGTCTTGCAGGTTTTCCAATGTGGTTTTACTGCAAATGTAAAATAAATTCTTGTATCTTGTATTTATATAGTCTATTTCACAGACCAAGGTCACACAAAGCGCTTTACAATTTTGGTGTATTGGTAATTCCTATTCACTCCACACATGGTGATGACAGATGCAAGATGTCAAATTGACTGGTTCAACAAATACTCATAGAGTGTGTTTCCATTTCTGCAGTCAGGACTACAGAACCACCACCATCCATCCACTCCCCTCATTACATTCACACCTTATATACATGTTTTTACTGGTAAGGGAAACCGGAGAACCCTGAGGAAACCTATGCAGACATGGGAATAACATGCAAATTCGAAAGGCCATTATAGTATTTTAAACAAATGTTAGACTCAAAATCAATGTTCCCCCAGTCTACGTCAGCTTCTCTATCTCCCCTCTGTATATTGCAGCTTTTTGAGACCGGATTATTATTTCTGGCCCTACTTTACTTTCATTTCAATTTTTTTCATCACAGCTTAATCCTTCTACTAGTTTTTTATGTTTTGTGTGTTGGATGAGTGAAAAGGCTCATAGAAAAGAACTGACTATGGACGGGAAGGTAAATCTGTTTGGCTTGTTCGGATTAGAGTAAAACAGATATGAAAAAAGAGAGAGAAATGTTGAAAATTCCGACGCTTTGCTCAGTGGCACATTCTGGAGGAGACAAAGAAGGCATCAGTAAGAAGAGAAACGGGATTTTTGAGCACGATTCAATTTGATTTTTGTAGATTTTTTCTGGATTCTGCCAATATGATACCACCCAGGTTACTCATCTATCACGGGACGCACAGCGAAACACACTTGGAATCTAAAGAATCATGGAGGAGGAAGAAGTCTTGCTCCGATCTTTACCAGAACGGGTACAGGATCAGGCAAAAGGAACACACACAACCTCGGCTGTGTACGGAGATATTGTCCTGCATGCGCACTGTGACCAACTGGGGTAAAGTATCAAACAGTTAAACAAGCTCCCTCTGCACTGCAAAAAAATAATCAAATATGAGGTAAAAATTGCTTGAATCGAGTGGTTTTTATCTTAATTTGAGTTCTTAAAACATGATTTGCCGTTAAAACATGGAACAAGCCGTTTGTCATTTTGCTTATTGTTCCATTGGCAAATCTTGTTTTAAGGCAGTCAGAATGCACTCAAATTAAGATACATTTTGCCCAATTTGAGCAATTTTTTACCTATTTTTAGTCACTTTTTGCAGTGTGTCATAATAGTGCATCATTATGATATTTCAGATCACACAGTAATAGATATAAAAACACATTTGTGCTGCGCCACATTTAGCTTCAATGTAATCCTCTAGTCACAAGTCGTCAGCAGTGTGTAGTTGTGGCGGAGAAAATTATTGGTCAATGCAGTATTCAATGTCCTTTTGAATACAGGACAATATCAAATCTCATCATGAAAAGAGCCCTGACGAACACTAAATTACTGTATGTACACAGACATAGGTCGTACGTCAAATTCAAAGTGAAACCAACACAAAGAAAATATAGATTCTCAGACATAAGTGAGGCTGTGTGTTCAATGGGTGTAATGATAATGCCTTGCACTTGTAAAGCACTTTACACACTTGCTGAAGTCTCTCAAAGTGCCTCACTAAAGTCTGCACCATCATTCTACTGCTGCATCTTTTGGGTGTTTGGAGAAACCGGAGCGCACAGAGGAAACCCACACAGATATGGGGAGAAACATGCCAACTCCACACAGATAGCCCTCTGTTACAGTGCGGAGATCGAACCCAACTCCATCTTGCTGATGACGAAACATGATTCAGCCTCGTGCCTCTGTGTGTAGAGGGCTGGAGTGGACTGATCAAATTGATGACATCACCGTAGGGCTAGCCTTAACGCAGAAGAGGCCGATTTGAGCAGATGCTAGCTGGAGCCAATTTCCTTATAGGGGCTACCTCTGCCACCTGGGAAGATGTGTTGCTGAGACGGTTGCTCCCGGAAATGAAGGCACAATGTCAATAGCAATAATATGATTCACAATATATTGCGGAATCGAATTGCAATACTGTCTGTATCACAATATGTTCAAAATCACAATAATATTGAGTTAGGGCCTAAGTATTGCAATAGTATTTATTTGTAACTTTTTGCCAATTCCCAGCCCTAGAGTATCTACGTGACATTTTCTTCTTTTGCTCACAGACACACATACAGACAAGGGTGGACACACACACACGCATACACACTGGGATCAGCTCTGTTATGTAAAAAGACAAACAGGCAGGTGTTGCTTGTTTTATAATCCCTGGGAGTGCAGCCGCCGCAAGGAAAAGTAGGGCGCGCTTAACGCGTCTTACTAATGGAATGTCTAAATCATCTGTGGACCGAACTGTCCATCGGCTTCAATATAAACCATATATTTAAACAGAATGTGTGTGATGGTTAATTCTCTGTTTCCTGGTTGTTTTCTGCAGGTTTGCGGTTTCTGAGGGCGCTGCGGTTGATACAGTTCTCCGAAATCTTACAGTTTTTGAATATCTTGAAAACGAGGTGAGTATGTTTTAATTCCAGAGTATTAAAAGTGGATTGAATGATAAATAAACCTATAATGTACTTTTGCTAAAAAAGAAACCCTGAAGAAATAATGTGAACTTTTGTCATTGTTCTTACCACTTTTTTTTTTTGCCGGGCTACAAAATGACAAGTGATCCAAAGGTTATATACAAACAAATGTACATATGTTGATTGTACTGTCTTTTCTGTCCAGCAATTCCATCAAGCTTGTGAACCTGTGTTCAATCTTCATAAGCACATGGCTCACAGCAGCTGGATTCATCCACTTGGTGAGTGCTCATGTGGTTATGGCACCTTGGTTTGGGCTGGACTGGAGTATGGTCGAACTGGGCAGAAAGCATTGTACCACTTTTTTCAAAATAAAAAAAGCTATAAATAAATTCATAATAAATAAGGTTTTAAGGTAAGGTAAGGTAATACGGTTTTGAAATATCCAAAATATTTGTCTGCTGAATATTTGAGGTATTTGCCAACGGTTTATAGTCCATACAAAAACAACAAAACATGATTTCACTGGTCGTCCTGGTAACGCCTTTGCAATCAAAAAACTGCATGAAGGGAATTCAATGAAGTTAATATTTGTTTATGTAGTCAATATCTCCAGCTTTATTTTAAGCACAGCAGCGGTTTTCCCTCATTCAGAGTATGAGCTGCTTAGAATAGCATTTATTTTTAAGTACAACATTTTTTGGAGCCCAAAGGAGGTCTAATTAATATTGTGAGCTAACAAAAGCTAATCTTGCGTATAAACGAGGCCAATACAGACATACAACATGTCATAGGCAGCAGCTCTTTTCTTTATTAATTGTTATTACAAGTATTTTTTAAACCATGACCAGGTTTGCACGAAGACATATCAGGTAATGCGAGAGTCGTTTTTAGATCCATCCACACTAATATTAGGAGCTTCTGGCACAAGCATGTAACTCCGCCCCTCCTTTTTAACGCTCCTGTCTCTGTATTAGTATGATGTCATTGTACCACTATGATATCACACTAAAATAAAAAAATAAAAAATAAAAAACCTTAGCCCGTTCTTTGGTGGCTACATAGATATAGTTGCCAATAGCATTGTTTACCCTGGACACTTGTCTCACTATATATTTTCTTCTTAATATATATATTTTTTCACATTCTAAAACATGAAATAACAGTAAAAAGTCCCATAAGTATTATTGAATATTTCTTGATGTTTCTTGAAGTGTATATGCCGCGTAGGTACCACTAGGGAGCAGCAATGGACTAGTGTATTGCATGCATCCCTTCTGGCTGGTAAATAAAAACCTTATAGTGTTATTATAAGTTTTTTTTTTTACAATACCAAGTTCTATACAATTGTACTATTCATGCCTGTTATTGTTGTAGGTGGAGAACTCGGGGGATCCATGGGAAAATTTTCAAAACTCCCAGTCCCTCTCGTACTGGGAATGTGTGTACCTGCTGATGGTGACCATGTCCACTGTGGGCTACGGCGATGTCTATGCAAAGACCACACTGGGACGCCTCTTCATGGTCTTCTTCATCCTGGGCGGTTTGGTAAAAGACATTTTCAGTATTATTCCCTAACTCTCTGTCTCCCTCTCCAAACCCTGCCTGCTCCCATCTAAAAAATACAACAGAATCTGCTAATTTATTGAAATGTTAGATTAGATGAATGTGGTTCAGATAGCAGTTTTATATTGTATGAAAATGTAAATGAACCTAATGTATTGTGTCTGTAATCTCTTTGTCCTTTTCCCCCTCTTGTGTCAGCCGTAAACATGTGTGAAGACTTTGTTATCATATGCTACTGTCTTAAAATCTGGTTACTATTTTGTAGAAGCAGTTGCGGTTTCAGGACTTCCCTTATCCCGTGTCTCCTCCCACGTTTCCAACAAACACAGGAGCAGGCAGATGATGCTTAGGTCCCACCTGACTGTTACCATAGCGACAGCAGCCTCCTCAGCAGCTTTTCACGTTGTTGTCGGCTGTAGAAATCTGAGATGGAGAGCATGACATTATTATTGTTGACAAAAGGTGACTTATGTGAAAGTCCCTCATTTGTCTGTACATTCATTTACAACCACACAGGTTTGACCGATTTATTTGTTGTCAAGTGGTTACTGCTATATTCGCTTCCTCCTGGGGGTAGTGTAATCCCCAGGGTTTGTTTGTTTGTCTGCCTGTTAGCAAGGCTGTTCGCTTTTTTGCTCATTTCGTCATGTTTACGACTGCGGAATTAAAGATTTTATTTTGAATTTGTTTTAAATCCTGTGTTATCCTCGGGCAAATTGACCCGCCATCATGTTTAAAAGATAGACTAAATATTTGTATTTTTTTAGTTAAATTTTGATAATTTTCCCTAACTTGACTAGCCATGGGACATTTAGGCCCTTTTAGATCCTAATTTAGGGTATTTTTCTTCTACTTTTAATCCATGTCCCGAAGATTGCATGGCAGACAAAAGTCAGACCAGAGCAAAATTACTGCTTCATGATTAAGTTTATTAATAAAAAAAAAAAAAAACCTGAAAGTGGGACTTGCACCACTTTTCATCTTGAGGTTATGTTTTGTAGAACCCCCTTTTGCTGCAATCAACAAAACAACTCGAGCTCTGTCAGATCAGATAGAGGGCGTCCGAACAGCAGTTTTAAGGTCTTTCTACGTATACAATAAAATCTTTGTCTGTTGTCATAAACATGAGAAAGGCCTAGTTCAGACTGCCTTAAGTAGACCGGATTCAACACCAATAGATGCAAAAAAAGTTGGGTCACTTCAGGCTGAGGTCTGAACGTAGCCAAAATGTGCAAAAGTTCAAGTGGTATCATCACTTTGGCAAACCACTGTTGCTCAAAAAAGTTATGGGCAATTTCTGTTTTTCATCTTGTAAAGCTCATGGAGGAAGAACAAATGATTAGAATTTGGAGATGATGCGAAACACTATCTGGATCCAGGATTTTTTTAAAGGAATAGAATCGTGAGGTGACCTGCCAGCAGTGTTGGGCACGTTACTTTGAAAAAGTAATTAGTTATAGTTACTAGTTACTTCTCCCAAAAAGTAACTCAGTTACTAACGGAGTTACTCCACTATAAAAGTAACTAGTTACCAGTAAAAGTAACTATTGCGTTACTTTTTCGTTTTGTTCTGGAACATAATGTGCACTCGACGTGCGCATTTTTACCTTTAACCTCAGTGAGTTTAAATAGTGCCAATATTTCCATCTAGAAAAGGCTGTTTTGCTGCTGAAGTCCTGTTCACTCTTCATCTCTCTCTGTGCTGTAAGCACTAAACACCAACACCCGCCACTGTGAATGTGGAAACACCGGTGAAGCACTGACTTCAGCCCAATCAGATGAACATATAAATCAAATAAATCAAGTGGACAATTTGTTTGGCTACGGCAAAATATGTTTCATGCCCGCATTGTTTGTTCATACAAAACGCAAAACTATGAGTTATGGGTCTTACCTTATAAATGACCTGCACAGTCCACTTTAGTTCAGACCAGTTCCGTGTTTAAGTCCAGATAATAGTTTGAGCGTAGATATGTAATCCTCCATTTGGAAATGAGTCCAATGAGTTTTAAAAAGTAAAACAAAACGCGTGTGTCCTCCATAAACTCGTCTGTTTTGCTGCAGCCGGGTGCATCCAATTTCTAAAATCAACCGTCTCACACTTCACCTCTCTTTCTTATCATTCCTATAGTAATTGAAAAATTACCCTAAGTGCATTTTAAATTATCTTAAAATGTGTTATATGTATGTTAGCCAAACCTGTTGCTGCCCTTAGCAGATAAACCAGGAGGAGAAAGGAGCTTATCGATGGAATTGTATGCAGCCGACTTCTGCGCTCACATGCGCTCCTCTGAGCCCTCACGGTGATACAAGCTGTGGTTGAGCGCGATTAAGACCCATATTTGTTTCAAAAACACAAAATATGAACCATCCTCTCAACTGTAGACATGTAGATTGTAAAGGAAATATGTTTTACATCAGCCAATTATTGCTGAGAGGTTTTCTCATCCTCCCTTCTCTCATGACAACATGTTCATTGTGCGTCTTGAGTAACGCGCAGTAACGGGATGTCGGAAATGATAACGGCGTTATAGTTACAGTCAAAGTAATTAGTTATATTACTCGTTACTGAAAAAAGTAACGCCGTTATTCCCATCACTGCCTGCCAGTGTCATGATATGCAGCCACCAGGTCAAAACACCATCATTTTTACAGCCATTTTACCTTCATCTCAGTCATATCACATTTAACGGCACAATTACTACTTTTACTATGGCACCTCAGCTCAAATAAGTATAAAGTTGAGCTCTGAGGAAGGCGTGATGACCTCCAGCTGTGCGGACGTGTCCAGTGCTGTGGCCATAGTGATCGATGGAGTGTTTCCTACGTGCTGAGTGCTCTGGAAGTCTTTAGGCCGCTCTCTGGCTGCTTCCCATCAGCAGCAGTCCTTGAGTAATGACTCCGAGCTGTGGGGATTCAAAATCAAGAGATCATATCAAAGTCACGTCATTTAACATTACCGCTGGAGACGCATAGGCACTCTTCCCATGCATGACTTAAGTGCGCTTTTATGAGAGCCGAGATCTATGGCTCTCTACTACTGTAAGAGAGATTCAGTGTAAGCTCAGGGTACAGTCAGGGCCAATGATGAAAAGCCATTCCTTCTCTCATAGGTCATTAAAAGCATGGTGGGATCTCGGGCTCTGTGTCTGTGCAAAATGCATCCAGCTCATTTTCCAAGCCCAGCAAATGAGTCTTAATGTGTTTTGCAGCTGTGGAACATCAGGTAGGCCTATTCAAATCCACCTGCTCCAGTTTCTGTGTTTGTTGGACAAAACATGGCACTTAGGTTTGATTACTATTGGAGTATGAACGGAGTAAGATGTCGGGTGCAGCTGCAGATTGGAGACGTTAAGAATGTGTCACTAAACACTGGGGCTTCACAAATTCAGCACACCGCTCTCTTTGCTTTCTGTATGGCTGTCTCCTGACTTGCATACTAACAAAGCAAAGTGGCTTTCTATAAACTCAGGCCTGCACCCACCGCTGTGCAGCACACCAGTCTCTTTTTTAGTCTCTTCTTCTGTCTCCTATCTTCTCCTTAGGCCATGTTTGCCAGCTACGTCCCTGAAATCATAGAGTTAATAGGAAACCGCAAGAAATATGGTGGTTCCTATAGTGCGGTTAATGGGAGAAAGTAAGTATTCCAGACGGTTCTGCTGTTTTTATGTGTGCAGTAGAACCCTCTCTGCATGCCTTTTTCTTTTTTTCTGTTCCATGCATGTAGGCCATGTTTGCTCGCTACGTGCCAGAAATTGCTGCTCTCATCCTTAATCGGAAGAAATACGGAGGGAGTTATAACTCGACACGAGGCAGAAAGTAAGTTGAAATCCAGACAAGGTGTGGTTGTGTGACTCAGTGCACCCCGATAAAGGGGTTCTAATGACAACAGACCAGTAAAGAACTCTGTGATGTCACACTGCGTGACTGGAGACCTTGGCCATTAAGACGCACATGCCCATGTCTGCTCTCATCTCTGTCCATCTGCACCTCTCTCCTCTCTCCTCAGCCCCGGCCTGCCCCTTCACATCTGTGCTGTCGTCTATGCTCTCACTCCCTACTCTGTACTTCATTGGAGATTAGAGCTTTTGTGACTACCTTTCACTTTAAATACAATAATTAGGGAACCAATGAGATGTCGGTAATAGGCTGAGGGTTTTTTTCTATTTCTATGAACTTCATGAACATACAGAGGTCCAGGAAAAGTTGGTGGTACTAATTATAAACCACAATTATTATTATTCTTTTCAATCATTTTAAGTTACTTCCCTCACTCAGTTATATAGCTATAGATAATGCCTCAGTTCACTTGTGGGGTTTTTATTCACACCTCTATTATTGTTATAAAATGTATAAAAAGGCCACAAAAGATTATGGTAAAATGTGTATATATGCATTTACACATCACATACATCATACATAAAGCAAAGGTAAACCAATAGCTTAAAATCCATTCTAAGTATTTTTATTTTTTTTATTTATTTAACCTTTATTTGACAAGGAAAGTCCCTCTTTTTCAAGGTAGTCCTGGACAAGAGGCAGCAAAAGTTACACCCAGTTGCATACGATTACAGATGATAAAAAGTTACACACAATTTAAGTAAGTAATGTTTATTTATATGGCACATTTTCACAGACCAAAATCACCCAAAGCGCTTTACAATGTTCAGAGTTCAGATATTGTTTTATTCTCTCCACACGGTGATGACAGAAGCGAGATGCCGAACACACTGGAGCATCAAAGCCATTCATTCACTCACTCATTACATTCATACCTATTGTACATGTTTTTAGTGGTAAAATTGGAGCACCTGGAGGAAACCTACGCAGACACGGAGAACATGCAAACTCAACTCAGAAAGGCCCTGTTTCGACCAGGATTGGAACCCAGGACCTTCTTGCTGACAAGCGAGAGTACTATCCAGCCAATTTTAGTGCTGCGGTTTCTCTGTATCTGTTCCCAAAAAATCCAAATCGGTCGTCCCTAAAACGTCCAAATGCTTTACAGTTCTATAGCGTGGAACAATAGTCATGAAACCCCTACTATCCACATTAAAAAACAAATAGAATTTCATCTGCAATCACATTCTCATTGGTGATCTCTGAACTCATCAATCTCAATGACCATTGCAAGACCTCCTGCTTCCTCGTTTCTCTCGGCATGCCTTTGCTCGACTCTAGCTTCTCTACTTCCCGTGTTAGCTGCGCTCCCAGCATGCTCCCCCCGTGATCTGCAGACTTTTTCATCGATTGTGCCGTCCATGGAAAAGTCCTCGTGCCCGCGTCCGCTCGGCCATCGCACCATCTCTGCTTGACACGACTCTGGCCCTGATCTTCAGTCAGCTCCCACACCCTGAATGCTGGATGCCTCGCTCCCCATTGGAGCTTCTCAAATGCTTATGGCTTGCTCTGCTTGCTTTGGCTCTGTCGATTGCTTGCTTTGGGTTCCGTGGTCGTGTCGTGCTGTGCGAAAGTCTGTCTTGAACTGATGTCTGTGTCGATGTGTTTCAAGTGAACGTCTGTTTGTAAAGTGTGCAGCTGTCCTGGTTTGTTCTAGATACATGTGGAGTGCCTTCATCCCCTCGTGGCTCAAACTTAGCTGATAGTGAGCCTCTGCTTTAGAGTTTAAGAATGTGTCTCTGTGCAACAACGTTTTATACCATTTTGCGGTGACTCAGACTCTTGTTACTTACTGCTGTGCTTGAAAGCGTACACACACACAAGGGCAGAGATATCCTTTTTTCTGGCCATATTTTAGAGATTATGAATGACACTTTTATTGGTGGTGATGTGTTTTTCTATTTTTCAAATTTGAATGAAAGCAGAAACTTCTCACATGACCCTATTTAGAAGTCTCCATCCCCCAGCTCTGACCCTTTAACATCCAAGTTATGTATTTTTTGGTAGTTGTGGACGCGGTTCTTTATCCTCTCTCATGGTAAAACTGGCCATTCTTCTTGCCAAAAAGTAGTTCTTGTAAATTATTGTTATTATCTAATTACAACTATTTCAACAAATAGTATTCGTATAGTATAATATAAAATAGTATACAATGGTATAAAATATAGTAAGTATAGTATAGTATGATTTTTTTAATAAATGAAATTATCAAATCCATGTAACTAGTTCCATCATTAGTTTTCACATGCATGTATTTTGGGCCTCTGTCACATCTTTAAATCAGCTTTTTCAGACAGAAAAGGAAAAAATAGCGGACCACCCTCGCTCAGCCCAAAGCCTCAAATAGCGACTCACAGGGTTCAAATGTGCAAAAGTGTAATCTAGAACATGTTTTCTATTAAGATGAAATGGCCTGATTTGTTCATAGTAAATGATGTAACTATTTTAACGATGTCTGGTTATGCGTGCTCTGGTGGACTATCATCATAATGACTGTAAATGTGTCTGGATGCATTTGCTTCTGGGCTCTAAATAATGACGTTGTAAAGGAGAGAGGTTAGGTAAGGATATTGCAAAGGTTATGGCTAAAGCTAGGTGCTACTGTAGGTCTTTGCTGTGTGTTGTGCTATAGGGCTAACGCCTCTATGGTGTCCCTTTTTTTCTTCTGTATATTTGGACTTGTTCTGTCCCATTTGCACATTTGGCATACATAGAATCACTCAGGGTGTGCAAATAGACAGGAAGTGTGAATGTTAAAAGTTTAAAATATAGCCACGTTTGTGCAAGATATATTATGTACAATAAAATGAACTGAAATTTCTGGACTGTCTTGCATGAACTTCCCCAGATCATCTTCCATATGTTATATATAGAATTTAAATGACTATAAATGGCTAAAACAATGACATTTCTGCTTTGGGATGTAAACTTTCAAGCAAACACATAGGAGGTAAATGGTCCAGCCCCCTGCTTTCTTACATTACAGGTGATTGGTTGAATCTTACTGTCACTCAATAGGAGCAGGATGAGTGGGTGATGACATCTATAGCTGCAATGACGTTCTGTCTATGAGTAGAATTTCACAGAATCCAGATTATTTTGATTGGTACATTCTCGCACAGGCCCACAATGCAGTTTTAAATCATACAATCAAATTTCTTTATTTTGATCACGTCTGGAATAAATATGCTTCCCACGAGTTGTAAGCAAACCTCTTTTTGTTGGATAGCGCTGCAGTCGGTGAGAGGCGATTGATGAGATGTTAGGTTTGGCCGGTGACCTGATGTGCTGGTGCGGAGAGAAGGCCCTGTCAAAACCGTATACACATCTCTCCCACACACTTTATTTTCTCTCTCCTCCCAAAGACAAAGCGGGCGCATCTGGCAGTAATCAAAAGATAGGCCGCTAAATACACAGATTTACGAAGCCCGCTCGGGAATAATAACATGTGTACGCGTCCGTGTGGATGAGCGATGAGCTGCCGTGTTGAGAAGTTGGAAGACTTTTGTTGTCTTTGAGAATCTGTCGGTAAAAAAAGGAGCGGAATGAGATTAGGAGATTAGGTTTTCGATGAAGTTACATACATCCTCCTCCTTTATCAATAGTATGACGCATTTTAGCCAAGTTATGTTGAAGCACGGTGAATGACGTAAAATAGGGCTAGGAAAAGGGCAAATATATATATATCAATTTCAAATCCAGGCCGAGTTTAAAGCTGGGATAGCGAACTTTCAAAAACCACAACAAATTGATCTATTTATTCAAACCTACGTATTGTATTGTATGTACTTTATTTGAACAGGGACAGTGTACAGTTAAGCATTAACACAAAAGGAGAGATGCATGTACCAGGTTATAGCAGAGATGCTAATTTCCACCTGTAGTACGTAACTAGCTCCTGGCCCAAAACTGTTTAGTTAGTAGTTTACTTAAAGGTATATAAGAGGATATTCCCACATTAAGAAAGAACCGCCCTCTCCAATTTTTGAAACAAAACTCTCTGGTCTTATTTGACGAGCACGTATCACCCGAATGATTGACAATTGGGAGTGTTGTAGATTAACCACACAGAGACGGGATCATCGCACACCAGAGCTCCTGGAACTTTATGAGGTTTCCTTCAGGTTTTATATGTTTCAGTTTTTTCAGACAAAACAAAGTCAGGACATGGTTTTTATAGTCATTGTTACGTCACAGATATGTCACACACAGAAAGGCATACGTGTTGCATCCAGAGACAATCAGAACATCAGATATGGATATACAATGGGACCTTGTGACTGTGAGGGCCAGATATTTTGTCTTGCGTTTGTACCACCTGCGTAGACCATACTGTAGTTATCTATCCACTATAGGAGGGCCAATAGTCTTGATGATCCACCCAGAAGTTGAACATATATACCTTTAAGGGGCAGATTAAAACACAATCTTAATTTCTTTTCTGTTATGTCAATGATCAATATCCAAAGATGCTAAAAAAAACAATGCTAACCACTAGCACTCACACTTTTAGGAGGCAACGCATGGGTTGTAAAACACAAATGAAAAGATACATTTAGTGGATCTGAAGTTGCCTGAATGATCGTTTCATAATATTTCACTAAGATTCTGAATTCTAAATGTGTTAAGCTTTAAAATCATGTGTCAAACAGTGACTCACAAGGACAACATTTTACTTAGCTTTTTAAGACTCTCTAACAAAAAGTTATGTATCCCAGCTTTATTTAATGGGCAGATTCAAAACATTTTTGCAGATTCAAATTTTTTTTACAATTTCAATGTTGCAGCTAGCACAACTCAATGACTGGACACTCACCAAAAATTCACTTATTTTCTTTGGCCATAACTTTTCCATTATCTGCGCTTTCTTCTGATACATGAATATTACTAATTGTAATGACCTGAAATGACTTTTAGACCTTGGTATTAATGTGGCTTGACTACATCCATCACCAAATAATCTTGACTGAGGCAGAACCGTATAATATATTTTATTTTGTTAAAGCGTCTGCAGACTAGACCTGTCTGTGTCCCGCCGCTGTCAATTTATTCTGGAACAGCTTTGACGTGTTCCCGAGACACAAACTCGGAGTGACATTATAACCCGTTCTCCGGTCACATCTTGGCCTCCTCTCTCTTGGAGCTCTGTGGTTTCCATTATAGTAGCATTAGCCGTCCACTCGGCCTCACCCCTGGCTGAACTGACACGCACCTTTTGAACCGGTCCCTCTGCTAACAGCTGAGTCGGAGGTCCTTATGTGGGGAGAGTTGTGACAAATATGAGTTCAATAATACGGTATTTAAAGGTTATCTATGTAAGTTTTTGCCTGGAATGTTCCACAGTAGCCTTCAAAACACAAAAGTGATTTCAATAGGCCAGTGTCACGCAAGGACATAATGGGAACATTACTTTAAACAAAGCATTATTATTAAGTTGCAAATACATAATATATAATTTAAGTTTTTGAGCATGTACAAGTTTGAAATCACGTTAAATTTATACATTCCCTGCAAAATAAATCAAATCTCTATGGCAGCAAGCGCAGGAGGAACAAAGGAAAGTCCATTAGAAAAAGTCATGAGACGCACCTTTACTAAGTTTTGTCGATGGCTAACTTGATTTGGTTCCTGCAAAAACCAAATGGTTAATAATAACTTTCAACTTATTCGAAGTGAAATGGTACTTTGTAACATGTGTAGATTGTAAAGTAATGTATTAGAAGTTTATTGTTATAGAACTAACAGTTGGAAGGCGACAGTTGCAGTTGCTGAAGGATTAGAGCAGTAGAAGTGGGTGTGGTGAGGTTTGAGCTGCTCCCTGCTCTGGGTCCTCTGGGTTTGACCTCTGCTGCATGTTCTCTGTGTGCATGCCCTTTTTATCCTCTGAGACTTTTGGTTTGTGGATAGTTCTGTGTGCATTTTGCGTGCTGTGATAGTTTATTTCTATCAAAAATCTAGAACAATGAAAAAATATGTCTGCCGCTGTTATTTTCACTATGTAATGCAACTGGTTCTCGAAAGGGCCATTGTGGCTGTAGGTTTTCGTTCCAACCAAGCTGGAGCACACTTAATTTCCTTACGTTGTCAGGTTAAGACTGGACTCACTTGAGGAAATGGGTGGAGACTGGTCTGCTCCTGCCTGGTTGGAATGAAAACCTGCAGCCATGGTCCTTTGAGGACCGGTTTTGTTCCCCTGATGCAATAAGAAAGGCCTGGAAGCATATAGTGATGAACCTCTCATGAAATGAAAGATACTGTACGTCTGTAAAGCCCCATTTCCACCAGCCCTGCTCTTCTCTACTTTACCCTGATTCCGAGTGTTTCCATCAGCCCTGTTTTACTGGTACCAGGTATGTTTATAGTGCTGGCTTGGGTCTGGTTCTATCCGGGCCGAGCTGGTACTTACTTTTTCTAGCTGATAATGATGGGTGAGAGGGCTGCTGGAAGCCATGGTTACCAAGGAATTTCCATGAATACTTTTTTTTTTTTTTTCGGTAGGTTGTTAGGATACGGTACCAGATACTAAAGGTAACACAACCAGTTAGAGTAGAGTAGAGTAGAGTAGGGCTGGTGGAAATGGGGCTTTTGTCTGTATGTCCATTTGCACATTTTACAGCTGGCGTCACACACTCTAAAACGCAGGAAATAGCTATTTAAATGTGAAAAGACACACACTTAAAAAAATAATAATAATAGAACGTGGGACGGCCATATAGAGCTTTTTGGGGAGTCAATTTTTCACAAGTCACAAAGATTTACTCAAAAAAAAACTAAAGTATTTGTGGTAATGTGAAAAAATAAATCCATACAAAAAATAGAACACCCCATTGTGGGTTTTCTGTAAAAAAAAAAAAAAAACATGCTATATTTAAGTGAAAAATTGACGTACCCCAGCTTTAATATTTAACCCAGGCTGCTCATCAGTTTCCAGACAGAGGTGACATCTGTGACCGGCCTAATGTCTCACCAGCTTCTGTAGCTTCTGTAGCGTCTGTAGCGTCTGTAGCGTCTGTAGCGTGTCTCTGCCAGTGACTGCCTGTCCTCACTGCTCTGAGATCTAACATCAGTAAAGACTTAAACACGTCGGAACTTTTCCAAAACCGCTCCTTACATTCATTTCAGACATAATAATAATGTCCAAGCCAGGCATTACCTCGTCAGAACGGATCCAAGAAAATCTGTCATAACAAATCAGGTTTTGTGATACGTCCATGGCATATGACTGCAGAGGTAACCGGAGCTGCTCGTACCCAGGTGAAAGGCTTCAACAGTCCCTCTCACTAATGTCCAGCCGACGCACGCAGGTTTCAACTCTATAATAAAGCTTTCCACAACGTCCGTTCAGATTTACGTCAAGACGATATTCACCAAACTTAACAGCTGTAGCTTTGTTGTAAAATATACAGTCTAGATATCCTGAATTATGACAGGATTGATCAGTGCACGGGCAGTTTAAAGGAGACGTGTGGCGCAAAAGTCTCACATGGACTTTTGTGAGATTTTAACATTTTGTTTTTGTGCCCTCGTCAAAAGCAAACATGCAGTTGTTTTTGGATCCATCCTCGCTAATATAAGGAACTTCTGGCATAAACATCCTGTATGATGTTTAGAACCAAAGTATAGCATAAGGAGTAACAGACAGAAAGCATTTTTAAACACCATTCATTTTCTACTTATGATAATATATAGAAATATTGGCCAAATTGAAATAACAGTAAAATACGTGTTGTAATTTTTATGTTATATTTTTTCTTTAAAGGAGACATATTGTTTTGAGCTTTTAACCATGTCGCCATTTTGTTTGCTCTGGCACAAACGTAGAAGTCCTGCCTAAAAGCTCAGTGTTGTAATTGTATGAAGTCATTGTACCACTGTGTACCACTCCCTTTCACAATCGTTCTTTACAATTGCATTGAGAAAGAAAAAAAAATCCTTCTGGTGGTAGTAGAGGCAGTACAGACAGAAAGCACTTTTTGACCCTTCAGTCTTGTTTTGCCATCTATTTTCAACGTAAGATATTATTTCCCATTCTAAAACATGATAGGACAAAGTGAAACTAGAAACTATAACACAAGGACGTTCAGTGTGTCTGAATTAAATATTAAATAAATATTAAAATAAACAAACAGTCTCATTAGCTTTTTGAATGGCTAAAATAATGCAAACTCCTTCTTCTTAAAGAGCACATTTGTCTCATGTCAGAAGTCCTTTTGTCTGACGCTGCTATGAGCTTGTTTTATAAGATGCTCCGTTTAAAGACTTGAAAATATTGAATTGATGCACATGTCTTTGTCAACATCCATCCAGTCCACACTACAGCGGTTTGGCCCAAAGAGAGGTTGCTATTGAGAGCGGATGACTGTCCAACCGCTGCGGCTTCTGTAATTATATCTTGCGTTCTACTAAAGAGGCTCCAAGCTGAGAGTTTGATTGTACTTGTCGTGCACTTTCATTTCATGATGGAAAATGTACACTTTTGTGGCAGAAATCATATAATTCACTTCCTTGTTTGGCCTGAGGATATTTTTTTTGACAGTTGGATATTTTTTCATTCTGTATTGAGTTAGATTCAGAGTGCGTTGGTTTAACTGATTATCTTTGGGAGGCATGCCAGTGTCTGCTCCGATTTATGTTGCTCACTCAAGTTGATTTCTTCCCCCCTTCTAGGCACATAGTGGTCTGTGGTCATATCACCCTCGAAAGTGTCTCCAACTTCCTCAAAGACTTCCTACACAAGGACAGGGATGATGTCAATGTAGAAATTGTTTTTCTCCATAAGTAAGTTCATATTTTCCTTTGCCGTGGGTTGAAGCATCTGCCCTAGAGTTCAGAGCACACACACACACTCACACACAGAGCCACCACACTAACCCCTCTACACTCATCTGCTCTTAGTATTTCCCCTAATCTTGAGCTGGAAGCCTTGTTCAAGCGCCATTTTACTCAAGTGGAGTTCTACCAGGGATCCGTCTTGAACCCCCACGATCTGGCCCGAGTCAAGGTACGACACAGCCCCATCAGGAGCCTCCGTCACAGACCACACATGCAATAAACTCTACATCTCCTGTATCTTAGATCGAGTCTGCGGACGCTTGTTTGATCCTGGCGAACAAATACTGCGCTGACCCCGACGCTGAAGATGCCTCCAACATCATGAGGTCGGCCCCCTCGCTACCTCCCCGTCCCGTGCAGCCGAAAAACACGGTGTACTGATGTTGTTTCCCATGTGTTTTTAGAGTCATCTCCATCAAGAACTACCACCCTAAAATCAGAATTATTACACAGATGCTTCAGTATCACAATAAGGTAACGTTGTGGAGCTAATTTTGCATTTTGACTAATTACTGTTAAATACATTTAAGACTACAAATTTGCTATATACTTCATCCCAGTGTTGTCACGATACTACTATTTTTTCATTCATTTATTTATTTCAGGCAATGACACAGATAAGTTCAAGGTAGACAAATACAGTCAAGTCATATGGTGCAAAAGAGTAAAGATACAGACTACTTTAAATTAAATTCAGATACTAGAAAGAATTCTCGATACCAATTTCATTACCACAGAAATTATTTATAAATGCTCTTTTGAACAATAAACTGTATTGTTTTCTCACAAAAATATAACTGTTATTATCGCCATAAAGTTTTATACACGTTCTGGTGTCATAGTTTCTAGCTTCTTTGCTTCCTGTTGACTTTATAATTTATTTGTGTTTCTTAAGCATTGAATAGTAAGGCCGCACAGATATCGGACCTCATCTAAATCTACGACCCGACCCACACACTGAGGTCCGAGGGCCAGACCAGACTTAAAACCTTAAAAATGTTGCGTATAAAGCTGGCAGATTTGTATATTTAAATGTGTTACTTTTGTCTTTGAGCAGCTATAAAAACAAAGTGGATTGGATTGGATAGTTTAAATGTTAATTTATTAAGAAATGCTCATGAAGTGTAAAATGTGTCTTTTCAAATTAGTCTAATCTCGTTATGATACTGGTTTTGCGTTCTTGTGTTGTATAAACTCCACTCACTAGTGTGCAGTACTGTAAAAATACATTAGGGGGCGGCACACTCCATGGTTTGCAGTGCGTTGCTTATCCCTCAGTAACACAAGGGTCTGTTAGTTCTTGTCGTTATTTACATATTATTTACATTACTTAAGAAAACACGGGTCTGTGGCACTGGGTTGCGATCAGATTGGTTGAGCAGCCCGTTTTGCACGAACGCTGATATAACAAGGTAAATGTCAAGAAGGATTAAACAAATGTAATGCTTCTAGTATTTACAATAGATGCATGTTCAGTTCAATTGTTTCCTCAACCGTTTAGTGGATCACGTTTTGAGTCTCTATATCTACTTTAAGCTTGAAATTGAAATCTACCTCATTGGGACATCTCTATCAATTGGTTTCAGAAACGTTTACCATCAAACTGCATCTCAATCATATGGTAAAGACCTATTGTAGAATCTGATCTGCTTATTCCTGACTCTGTCTTCATTTTTTGACTCTGTAATAAATGTTGTTGTGTTATTAGTGCTCCTACATCTTAAAAAATCAAAAAAATAAATACCTTTACATTGCTTTCTTCTAGGTGTACGCATTAATTAATATAAGATTGAGGGTTAAATGAGCTGAAGCTTTCCACGGCTTTTCCATCACAGCAGGACAGACATGTGAACTTGTGTTGTACTTCTGTTACTTGCGTGACCTCTGATGGTTCTGTCGTGTGATCAAGGCCCATCTGCTGAACATTCCAAGCTGGAACTGGAAGGAGGGTGACGATGCTATCTGCCTGGCGGAGCTCAAAGCTGGCTTCATCGCCCAGAGCTGCCTGGCCCAGGGCCTGTCTACGATGCTGGCCAACCTCTTCTCCATGCGCTCCTTCATCGAGGTAAAGCTCACAGATCAGATCCACTCAGAAGACTCCGCACACAGGTTTATCACATGTGGCTGTTGGCACCGTGACATACAAAGCCAGTATATGTGAGGCCAGGCTTAGGTGCATTAAGTAAGTTAGTCCCTGCAGCTGGGATAGATCTCCTCTCATTCCCTCGCTGAGCAATCCTGACATCTTTGTTTATAAAAGGCCTCGCTTGCCATGTACTCAGTCACACTGGCACATCATATTTTTACCCTGACATGTCATATGGAATCTGTTCTGTGTTCCGTGGTTTCAAATTGAAGAGGTGCTTGCTTCCATCAAAGAGCTGTTCTCATGTCATAAACATGATAGATGGCTTTATAACGACCAGGCTCACGTTGAGGCCGGAACATCTGCTGACCACATTTCCCCCACAATCCTCTTTGTGTCCTCCTCTTCCCCCCGTCTCTTCCTGCGATGTCACACTTACTCTCTGTCCTTCATCAGATCGAGGAGGACACGTGGCAGAAATACTACCTTGAAGGAGTGGCTAATGAGATGTACACAGAGTATCTGTCCAGTGCCTTTGTAGGGCTCTCCTTCCCTACTATTTGTGAGTAAGTATTCCCCCTGCAGATCCACGGCATCAGGAGGACGAGTAAAAGGCCCTGTCCAGACGGAGACAGTTTCAGTAACAGTCGTACCAACAAAAGTGTCCTATGAGTAACTCATAGGCTGTAAATAGTGGCGCCTATTTCCTCCATTGAAATGTATGGGTGATCAACATTTAAAAATGGCCGCGAGTAGCCCATCCCTCGGGAAAATGGTGAAAAAACACTTTTGCGCAAATGTTAGCTGGCACGAGCCTGACACAAGGCTGAAAGACATGTTAATTCAAAAGTCCACAGCAGATAAACTAGGCTGGTCCATAAAAAATAAAAGCAATGACACGCATCTGGAACATAGCGTTGAGCCAAGAGACGACTTTTGGACCATTCTGTTTTGCAGTTTTTGAGAGTAAAAAAGGCGGCAAAAGAATTCTATGGATTATTCTGTTTCCGGGTACACCCCCACAGGCAAAGTGTTAGATTGAAAGCATGTCAGTACTCCCGCCCCCACTGGTCCGATTTAGCGCTTCCTGTCATATTCTCACAGCGCCTCCATCAGGCCTGGCACGTACATTACACTGCTCTCAGGTAAATTGATTTTGTCTGTAGTCTCGTGCGAACGGATACATTCGCAGTATGGTAACTACGTAAAGGCTGTTTCATCTCCGTGTAGACAGGGCCATCAAGTTTCATAAGCGCCTCGTAAAACAAACTCTAATCCCCTTGTGTGTTGCAGGCTGTGCTATGTGAAGCTGAAACTCTTACTTATCGCTATTGAGTACAAGTCCGAGCAGAGAGAGAGCAGGTTTGTACTCTGCGGCTTGTTCATACGCTGCAGACTTTATCACACACGTTTATAGTAGCACTGTTATTCCATCTGTACCTCTGACCAAGGTATAGAATTACTTATTTATCCTCTTTGTACAAATTGAAGTCATCAAAAGTCCATTAGAGCCACACGTTTGAACCACACGATTGAGTAAGTGCCAAAACACATCTCTCTAATGGTCTTGCCTGTTTTGTTTAAATTGTAAAGAATTGGTTTGCCTGGGAATATTATCCTCGCTGAAGATAACTTTGACTCATTCAAAGTGGCATCATGGCCTCATATAAACTGTACAGGGCAGGTGCGACTATAGACGGCAAAGCAAAGTAAGAGATCATTCCGATTCTGAAAAAGGGAAGACACGATTGGCTGCAGCCTTCCGTACGTCCTGTGTTCCTGATTTGTCCCAATGTGATTTAACTCTGTCCCTGTGCAACTAACAGTTTGTGATCCCCGATAACCACATGGAGGCGCTCTTTTTCAGTAATCTCAAATGCCAAATCCCACTCACCCTGTCCCGTTCACTTGTGTCAAATGTATATGTTCGAGGACCATTTCCGCAGACAATGTTCTTATTGCATGAATGTTGAGTTTTAGATGGAGGTCGACCGATACCGATAATTGATATATATTGTGGCATTCATTTACAGTAAGAGTGAAAGTAGTGATGTCCAAATTATGATTGATACAAAGTCCAAATGTTTGAATCATGTTTATTTGACAAAATCTTAAATAGAGAAAAATAGAATAGATCGTCAGGTAATAGTGGCTGACAATTATCTGTTTGAAATTAAAGGGACAGTATGTCATATTTTTAAATTCCCTCTCCATCTTTATGTGTCCCCATATAATATGTTCTATGTTGAGTTATTCTTTTTACAATGTTTTTAGGGTTGGCACTTTGCCCATTTTTTAAAAACAAAATATATTAAATAAAACCAGCTAAAATTATAGGTTGTCAATTGTAATTTAGATTTTCTTTTATAATCTCTAGAAAAACTCCAGCAAATGAATTGCTTCAATAATCAGTACTTAGGAACTACATGTGTCATTGGCAATAATAGTTGGATTGTAATTCTAATGACTGTAATAGACTTCCATACATACTATTACATAATGTCCCTTTAAGTGTCCTGTTAGTGAAGTGAATCAAACTAATCAGACAGCTTGTATCCAGAAAGTTGTGTCTTTTTACAAGTTACACAACTATTGTGTTGTGCAGTAGACTAATACATGTTTGTGTTTAGTTTATTATACATCACTGTTGTTCCGACCAGTTGGCTGGACTAGACTAATCATTTTACTAATATAACGACAGAAAATTAATAACATATAATCACCCGATACCGATACATCCATATTGTCCGATATTGGTCACAATGATCCCCCGATAATCGGTCGACCCGTAGTTTTTGCGTGAGATCGCTCACGTGAAGCACAGTACAGCGGCTCTACAAAAGCCCTGACCACAGTTGGACATTTTCTCCTTTCCATTATGTTAATGCTAACGTTTGATTTGAGATCTTTTCTTGTTGTTTGCAGAAGCCGAAAGCGGTATGCCCTCTACCTTATCTTACTTCCAAAGTTCCACCCAATCTCCACCACTTTAACGCTTCTGACTTTGGGAGTTTCCCCAAGGATATTTTTTCCAAACACTATCTCACAGGCCTCCTTTTTTCTAACTTTCTATGGTGTCCCTCGTGCTTTAATGCACTAACTTCTTTGCAGGCAGAGAGAGGATAGATAAATTGGATGTGTTTGTAGAAGTGCTGTTTCTTTGTCTTCGCTGTTGTCGCCTTACCAAGGCCAAACGCTCACCCTCTCCATATCTACCTATTTTGATCCTTTTGGTTTTGTCCTTTGCAGACTTTATTTCTCTCACTTTCAGTTCTTTTTCAGTGTCGTTGAGTTTCTTCCCTTTAGCTTTATTTGGAGATGAATCCAACTTTTGCTGTCTTAACAATGATTCTTTGAAATATACATGATGGTGCTTGGGATCAACATCTCGCAGAGCTCACATGTGCTGTTGTCAAACATGGATAATCTCTTTGATTTCATAATTGACATAAACGATCTGCTGTAGCTGCAGGCACTGGAGATTATAGCATGTCTTTTTATGTTTTCCATTCACCAACAGCACCTCATCACCCATCTGTCCTTCATTCCACTCATTAGGAAAGGCATGGAATTGTGGAATTTGGATAGCAATCTGTTTATCCAAAATTGGAATTATTTAGAAATCACAGGATACAAAGTCCTCGAGTGGGCCACTGTTCATGTTGATGTCCCATTTTCTCCACGTTCTCCTCGTCTTCCATGTCCTCCATATTTCTTTGTGCATGGGTGTGTGCGTGCGAAGGCGTGTGAGTGTGCGTGTGCCTGTGCATATACATACATTTCTGTCCATAGTCGACCCGTGTCAGCCATGCTCGTCCGTCTCTCGAGTAGATGTCCTTAAGTGAGGTCACTTCCTGTCAGTTTGGTGTTTGAGAAACAATCCAACTGCACAGAAGTTACTGCAACCGTCTGCATCTACGTCCCTGTCCCTTTTGCGTGTTCTGCGGTGGCTATGCCTTTCTGTTGGCCTGTCCTCATGCTGTTAGCTTACTGCATGCCACACTGTCACATGAGGTTGTTTGGTGCTTGTTTTGTTGCTCACAATATGAGGTTTTTTCGACGCTGCTCTTCACCACTTTGCACTTTGTCCCTACACACCTGTAAATACACCTCAGATTTGGGCAGCAATGTTTGTGAAAATTGAGTTGATTTGTTTGTTATCTTTCACTTAAGTGCATGCTAAACACAACTCTTGGGGGCCATTCAATCTGACTGAATGATTCACTAATTTACTTTCGCAGTGAGCAATCACAATCAGGCCTGCATGAACACTGCAACAACCCCACGTGCATATGGATTCAATTGCTCCCTTAACATGTTTTTGTCTATTAACTATCTGTCTATTAACAAAGTAACCTTCTTCAAAGCCCAGAGGAAAAAAAAATATACTGAAAAGACCAAAACACAATCCACTCTATGATGATTGAGAAAACGATAAAATCCGAAAACAAATTCTAATTCCGTAAGTGCTGGAAAGTGCGGCTGTGTGTTTCCTCTGGGCCGGTGTTGCTGTAGGAGTGTGACTTTAAAGGTTTGTTGGCTCCGTGTTTCGCACTCACATCATTGATGACTGTTGCCCACGGTAACCATTAATGAAGCGTGTGTGTGCGTGAGTGTCCAGGACCCGTGTGTAGCTTGTCCGATCTGTCTCTGTCTAATTAAGGGGGAATGATACAGCCAGTTGACACAAGCTTACAAAACAATGTGCTTTTTTTTGCATTTGCCAACCCTCACGCTCTCAAAAGCAGCTTTACATAACCCTGAGGACAGTTTCTGAACATCTACCTTGTTGCAGATGGACTACTAATGAAGAAAGAATGTTAAAATTACCCTTTCCACCTATATACCTGTTCATCGCTATATCTCTGTATTGCCACGCAGCTATATCTGTAACTCCAAGAAAACCATAGCCATAATTTTAATTCTTTCCGCCCTCTTCACCCAGATATTTCTGTGTCCCCATTTCCGGACTCTATCACAAAGAATTAAAATTCAATGCGCTTCCATATCGTTGTACATTCTGTCCATCTTGTGAGTAACATCAGCAAATTGACCAAAGTTATACATAGCAGTTCCAATCAGGTGAAATCCTTCAAACGTCGTGTACCATTCCTCTTGATTAGCATGTCGTGTGAGAGCGGAGTCAATATTCCCACAGTAAGAACGACACTGTTTGTATTTGTGTGATTGTCCAGTATCCTCATAAACCCGGGGAACCACGTGAAGATGCAGGAGGGAACGCTCGGGTTCTTTATCGCCAGTGACGCCAAAGAAGTCAAACGGTAATGAGTTATACTGTTTACGACATTATGTTGTCTTTTACTTTTTAAATTCATTATTTTGTTGTTATTATTCAAACCTGTCCAAGCAATAATACATTACAATGTGTTTACTCTGTTGAATTTGTTTCCAAACTTTTCCCCTCACCCGTACTGCGAGGCAAAAACACTCCAAGGCTGCATACTGGCAGTATTTATGTTATAAATTATTATCACATATACAATAAATATAGATGTGATATACGATAATACTAATGATGAGAATGATAATAATATTATTACCATAGTTATTGTTGTAGTATTACCATTATTGTTTTTCATATTAATAATAATTAAATAAATAATAATGCTGATAATAATGAGGATTTAGTGGTGAGAGGAACTTATTTTTTAAATTATTCATACATAAATATCAGTCAGGATTTTTGAATAGAAGGATGTGGTCTTCAAGTTTTTTGTTTTACATATATAAAGACAAACGTATACATACATTTACATACATAATATGCACATGCCCTTACAAACACATCAAAATGACATTTATTCATCCTCGTTTTGTATTCTAGAGCTTTTTTTTACTGCAAAGCTTGTCACGACGACATCACTGACCCAAAAAGGATCAAGAAATGCGGCTGCAAGCGACGTGAGTAGCCTCCTCTCGGCCCTGTTCCCCGCCTCCCCCCTTCACACCCAACCATAATCTGCCAGTCAATACTTAGACATTACAACTGTTTAATCTTGTGACATCACTGTTCTCCCTAACTGTAGCACTGTCTTTAAAGGTAACTCCATGAAGTATCCATTTGCTAAATCAATGCTTGGCTGTGAAAAATTGTAAATGTATCTCCCCAAAAGCTAAACTTTTTTCCGTTGACTTTGCTCTGTCTCTCATTGATGGACTTTGTGATGTTGCTTTCCTCCCGTCCTAAAATAATTTAAAGTGACAGTTCCATTATAGTAATGGAAGTCTGAATGTCCTGTCCCTGCCCTGCTATTGTGTTTTCTTCTGTTGTTTTTTTTTTCTTTACCTGTTTCTTTACAACCAGTGACACAATTTTGATGTATTTCCTTCCCCCCCTGCTGCCATTGGAAAACACCACTTTATTTTAACCCCTCTGGTAGTGATATATTGTGAGTAACATCTAACAAAAAAGCAAACGGGTGTCCTTATAACCCAAAGTGCAGTGCAAGTGTTTTCTATCCTTCAGCCTATAGTACACACTGTTTCAATGTTGCATGTACCAAGTGTAGCTTTGCATCCCTCTCCCCGTCACTCATCTACACTGTACTCAGACCAGAGCCGATCCAAAACAGCAAATCCTAGTCCCAGATCAGATGCGGACTCTCTCTCCTCACTTGTTGGACCGAAACCCAGCTCTCGTATTTGGCTTTAGAGGCCTCATCGCGAAGAGAGATCTGACTTGATGGGAAGTTAACATGACATATAGTAATCCAACAACCACCACGCACACACAGAAGAATATAAACTCCAACCAAATTTATCTGCCTTATGTCAGAAGAGGTTTTGTGTGGCTTTCGTTGAGAGAAGAAATGTCCTTGTGGCTTTTTCTTCGCAGGTTGCCAAAACAAAATCAAAACAATCTGGTTTTAAGTTTTTTCCCCGAGTGATCTCAGCGCTAGTCGTGGCCCAGATACTATCGCTTCAGAGAAAAGGCCATTTTTGCAGAAGTTGCTACTCAATCCTGGGCCATGGTCTCGCAGTCTATTCAATATTTAGTGATGGGACTGCGTTGTAGCAATAGATCACCACTAGATGGCAGCACTCGACCAACATAGAGCCAAGAAGAAACCTTATGGGCCGCACAGCTTCAGCAAAAGCTATGTATCTATTCCACTAATTAAAGCTGGGTTACCTAACTTTTTGTGTTTTCTTCATACTTACAGTTGTTGTTTTGTTCCAGTAACTTTTTGTTAAAAAAATCAGACCACAACAAGCCGTCATCCTAGTAGAAAACATTTGATCTTTTGCATTCTGAGAGCTGATTGGCTAAGTGAGGGCTGGTCCTCTCATTTTCACTGGTCTAAAGATCAAAAATACATGCATGTGAAAAGTAGCGAAATAAAATTGTTTTGAGAGCAAGGAACTCGTCACATTGATTTTATAACATTTTTATTTTTTGTGGTTTCAAAGTTAGGTGCTCCAGCTTTAATCTCTATGATGTCGAGAAATATGGTGCGTTTAGTAGGCGGTACTGGTTAGTGGGGAAAACCTGGGCATTTGTGAAATCAGACATATCGTGTGTGTGTATATATATATGTGTGTGTGTGTGTGTGTGTGCGTGTGTGTCTGTGTGTACATATATGTGTGTGTTTTGTGTGTGTCCTGTGTCACTTCATTGCTTTCCAGTCACATGTCCACGGTTGTAAACTCACTGGGTGTGTCCAGGCGCCCTTAGACTCTGAAGTCCCTGGTTTGAGCATGAGCCACGCCCCTGCTGCGTGCTACTGTGTGCATACAACTGTTTGACTAGTGTTTGAACAGTTCTGTATCTCTCTGTCGCTTACACACAGTCTGCATGCCCTAGTGCGGCTCATCAGGCATGCTCGTGGGACGCAACAGCCCCTATGATGACTCCCTGCTCTTCCATTGGCCAATTCTACGTCTTATTTTGTGGTCTTGTGGAGTCTAAAGAGGCTGCGAGGTGTCAGACAGCGTTAGCCTGCTGTCGACGCCGCAGCTGGCCAATGAGAGTGCGGGGAGCAGCAGCTGTCTGCGGCCACAGTCACAGTAATCTACACATGCTGCTCTGGGGACCTTCACTGCGGCCTTCCTCTGGGGCTTCAAGGCTTCAAATAACAACATCTCAAACGTACACAGTCACACAGATGTCAGTGGAGTGAGAGCGAATATTATTTTAGTTTTTTGAAATTCTGTATTAGCAAACAGCAAACATACAAATGCTTCTTACATTGAGTGTGAAGACAAGGGTACGTTTTAAGTGACGACACACATATACTGTAGGAAGACATAAGGGACAAAGGATTGTGCAAACGCATCAGTAAAGTTTAGGCAGAGCTTAGCAACCACCTTAGCAACTAAAGATAAGACAAGATAAACTTTATTAATCTCACGATGAAGACATTTTCACATTTGGCTTTGATAGAATCACATTTTATGTCACAAAGCTAACGACATCAAAAACAAATGCCCTTATAAGGAAATGGGCTCCAGCTAGCTTATGTTCAAATTGCCTCCTTCCGCATTCACTATGGTGATGTCGGTACTCCGTCAGTCTACTCTTACTATACAGTCTGTGAGCACACAGCCAGGCGGTCAAAATGTATTATACATTACAGGTTACTGACATCACTTCTAACATCGAGAAATGCTGATGCAATGATGAGGCAATCCGGCCCACGGAAACAATAAACATGTTATTGTTTACTGGTTTTATTATAGTCTAATGTTAATACAAACTTTTTACATTGAAGTTGTTCCATAGAAAAATCACTGAACGCAGCATGACGCTTGGTGTGCATGACTCTTAATGCCGAGCCATTGTTGAAGTCTTCAGAGCTCTCTCCCATTATTTCCATTTCTGTTTAGTTTCTTGCACTCATCATTTATACCCTCTTAGTACGCCAATGTGTCTTGATGGGAAATCTCTGTGTTTTGCTAAACAGAGTTGTGTGTGTGTGTAAAATGGTCAAGGTGCATTGGCTTAGACTGCGAAACAATACTTCATAAGGACTTCTACAATGGTTGCTACGCCTTAAATCTACTGTTGTGTGTTTTATCATCTGATATTTGGCCTTGTTTCAGTGAATGAAGTGCACTGTGCATGTGGTATGGCAACAACCACTGGGTTTAAAGTACAATGTGTGTGTAGAAAAACTAAGAAAGTAGAGATAGAACTCAAAGTGTATCCAGTTGTGTTTGAATGTTGGAGGTGGAAATGTTTTAGGAAAGAACAGATACCGTAAGACAGGTTTCTCCAACCTTTTTCACCCAGAGAGCTGCTTTCCCACAACGTTAAAGGCAGAGAGCTACTTCTTTATCGTGATATATTGGTGTGAACGAGTCTGATATTACAATCATTGTTTATCATTGCATATTTGTTAATAGTGACAAAGTAAGTGTTTTTACTATAATGAATCATTCTAAATAATCTAAAATAGTAAGTATATCATGTTATATGTTCATTTCTAAATCCTTTGGTGAGCTACCTAGAAGGGGGTGGTGAGCTACTGGTGGCTTCCGAGCTACAGGTTGGAGATGCCTGCCGTAAGACCTTGTTTTTCCCTACACACAGTTAGCGGTTATGTGATCTTTGTGCAGTTCATGCAAGGCAGCCCGGGAATGTATAGGAACTGGAGTCAGAATGGGCAGCTTTACCATCAGAGAAGATACAGAACCTCATCCACAATTTGTCATATAAGTTAAAGGGCAACACCCACTAATGAGAACCAGAGACCAGGGTCAGAAGAGGAGTTTTCCACTTTCAAATGATACAGTAATGATAACTCATGTTTTTGGCAAAATATATTTCTTCAGGTAACCATGAACAATGAGTTATTCATCATCTTTGATTTTTTTCTGGCTGGGCACAACTTTCAAACACAACTGTATGTCATAAAACAAGGAACTTAATACATTTGTTGTTAAATAAATTACTAATAAATAAATTACTAGCACTTAATGTAATGAGTTATGGAAATGGACTGAAGTCTCTATGTTTATGACAGCTTATAAATAGAACATTTGAAGTCCAGTCCATTCCAGTCCAGTCCAGTCCAGTCCTGGCCGTGTGTGACTTTGTGCTGTGCTCCCCAGTGAACGACTCAAATGTACAGTTCCTGGACCAGGATGACGATGACGACCCCGACACAGAGCTGTACCTCACTCAGCCCTTCGCCTGCGGCACGGCCTTCGCTGTCAGTGTGCTGGACTCCCTGATGAGCGCCGTGAGTGTCTGCACCACACCACACCATCACCACCACACCGCCATCACCACCGCACTCACAGGATCAGAGTGTATAGGGAACTGAGAGATATACTTTCAAACTGCTACAATGTTATGATAATCAAAAATATTCGTCTAAAAATGTATGTTCTTAGCACACCCTGATTTTAGAGGTATCGTTCGATTTTCCCAAATTGTAGGAAAGAACCGCCCTCTTTACTTAATAAAAAAAAAGATCTCTGGTCTTCTTTGACACGCACGTATCACCAGAATGATTGACAATTAGTAGGACCATTAGTTTTGATGATCCACCCGGAAGTAGAAAATCCTCCTATATACCTTTCAAATTGAGGTTGTTTTGTCGTTTACAGAGCCCTTTATCAAATGAACGGCTCAAAACTACTGCTGTTCCTGTTCGTTCAGAGTGTTCCAGCTGTGATTCTCTTCAGCGTTTCTGTTTGTGGAGCTCTGGTCTGTGGTTAGTGTAAGAGTGATACAGGTTGAATTGAATCTTTATTTTGTAATCACCAATATTCACAACAGCAGTCATTGATGTGGACATCACAGAAATTCTCCCTTCCCCAACAAGGGAGAATTTCGTAGGGAAGTAAACACAAGGAAATACAAGGATAAGACAGGAAAGTCATTGATCCATAGAGGAGTGCGGTACCAATGTCCATAAATGTCCTGAATCGTCATCTTGAGACCTACAGCCCAGTGAGATGAAAGAGAAAAGTTGGTTTGATGTGGATGTGGTGTAAGTTGATCAGAAGTATAAGTGTGAGGGCTCATTATGTGTAGACAGAGTGCCTTGTGAGGTCATAATCACACTGCTGACAGAGGCCTGACAGTCCCAGCTCCAGCAGCTCTGTCTGATCTTTGACAATGTGACTGGAGGCTCCCAGATAAGCTGTTCAGAGGTGTGTTCTCCCGGCGGGCTGTGATGGCTTCATCCCGCCGCCCTCTTCAGCTGCTCTGTGCTGCTCTGTGCTGCTGTGTGCGGTCAGAGGTGAGGCCAGCTAATGGACAGTGCTCATCCATCATGAGGCTGGGCAGGCCTGTCAGAGGCCCCAGAGACGAGCTGCCACTCTGCCAGTGCCGCGCGGTGACACGGCCTGTCTTCACACGCCGCAAAAGCAGCTTGTGATCGGCTTGAAGGACAAGAGAAGCTGACACCCGTAGAGTGCAGTCAAACCTCTCTCAGAACACAGCAACGACATCATACTGTAAAAACACATCAGCTCTGGGGCATTCAGCGCTTTACCTACAAATCACTCTCTTTTGGGCCACAGAGGTCTGCTTTCTAAAGGGAGGGTTGTTTTCACGGGGTTCAACTTGACCAGTATTGAGGAAATGCCAGGATTTATATGTTAAAGCTGGGGTACCTCACTCTTTGCCATAAATAATTCCTGTTGTTTGTGGCAACAAAAAGAGACTTGTAAGTAAATGTTATGAACAAATCAGACGACCTCTAACAGTCTTTTCCAGCATCTCATCAGAAAACATTATCTGCAAACTTGTAAGAAAGAACAACGGGAGTCACTAATTGACGCTTTGGGCTGAGTGAATGTGGTTCTCTCTTCTTCACTTTTCTGTCTAGGAAATATAGTTAGATGGGTTGTGTTTTGGTGATCTATAAATTAGACCCCAGCTTTAATGCACATGTCAAATGCACAGCCACTATTCCAGTTTGAAGTAGGCAAACAATGAGACGTAGAAAAATATCTACATTTATTACGTATTTTATTACGTACTATACTTCTTACTACTTACACTGAATGAAAAATAAATATTGAGGAATAAACAACAATATTTGATTCAAAATGTGCCTATTTACATAAGAATAGTGGCTGAAGTTGTTAATTATGTTCGTTTAACTCTATTCGTGCATTAAAATAAACGTCTCTCCATCTCCACCATTTGAAAAGTAACTAACCTTCCCTTTTAATGACTAAATAACTAACTATTGACAGCCCTATTTTGAATATTGTACACTCTCTCACATCTGTCACCCGTGTCCTCAGACCTACTTCAACGACAACATCCTGACACTGATCCGGACCCTGGTCACAGGCGGGGCCACCCCAGAGCTGGAGGGGCTGCTGGCCGAGGAGAACGCCCTGAGAGGAGGCTACAGCACGCCGCAGACACTGGCTAACAGAGACAGGTGTCGTGTGGCCCAGCTCGCCCTCTACGACGGCCCGTTCGCAGACTTGGGGGTAAGTGAGGGATCTGAGCAGAGATGACACGTGTTGGCACTCCCCAGCAGCACAGATCTGGCCTCCTCTGCCCGTATGCTGTTCTAATGTGATGTGAAGAAGTGGGGTCGCGCCAAGCAAGGCCTGGTGGGTGGGAAAGAACAAGGCATTTATAGAGACAGCTCAACAAAAACAAACACAAAAGAGTTCGCGTTAACCTTGTGTGACTTAAGAATGCAGCAGGGTTTGAGCTAGCAGAAGGAAGGGAAGTTAGGGAGCTGCATCTTGTTTTCGTAGATTCAGTTTTCTGGTTCTTCTATAGCAGACAAATGATAAAATAGCGATGTTGTTACCTTGACATGTTTCGACCAGTGGGGGCGGGTCCCGGCTCAAAAGTGGACAAAATGACGTGCGCTGACATGCTTGCAGTACCACCCCGGGCCGATGGGGGTGGACCCGGAATAAGAATTAGCCAATGCTAACATATAGCATTGGCAGACCTCTCGAAAACGTCTTTACAGGATGGACCAAAAGTTGGTTCTTGGCCCAAAGCTCCGTTCCACATGTGTGTCAAGCAAATTTTTGGGCCCATTTGTTTGAACAACGGAGATAGGCGTGACTTCATCCGATAATATTTGCAGTCTACAGGCTTTAACAGGGAGAGAGTGCGGGAGTGTGACTGCTCTGTGATAAAACATATAGTGATATGGCAGAAGGCTCCCGTCATATAGTGATTCTCTGTATATATACAGATATATATATAGGGAATCACTATATATAGCTAAATAACTGAGTAAGAAAGAGAAGTCTCTATTGTTTAATAACTCGTTTGCACCATGAGGTATGATCTCTGCTATACAAATAAACTTACCTTTTATTGCCTTATAATTTCAATATAGAACACACATTATTTGCCAAAATATGTCTTTACAGAACCAATAACACTGAGTGAAAATTATCATTCATTGTCTCTGAAATATGGTCCAAAAGAATGCAGCGTTTCTGTGTAAACTTTTAAGCAGTTTTAAACTAGATTACTGTATTATAATATGATGCTGTATTGTGTTTTACTGCTTCTGTTTGCGTCGCCAACTTTCTCTCAAACCTGCCTGTTGTTTTATTTCAAAAAATAGGGTTGTGAAATGTTTCTAAATAAACATTTTGATTGAGGGAACGTACACCTAATCTTGAAATGTCTCCTCTCTCCTTTTGCAGGACGGTGGTTGTTACGGAGATCTCTTCTGCAAAGCGCTGAAGACCTACAACATGCTGTGTTTCGGCATTTACCGGCTACGAGACGCCCACATCGGCACGCCCACGCAGTGCACAAAACGGTAGCCGTCCCGTTGTGTTATATCGTGTGCATAAGTTTGAAATAAGTCTAATCTAGTCTAAACCACACAAAGCTCACACACAACAGGCCCAAACACTCCCTGACCCTACACCTACATGTTTCCCCCGTCACTTCCTCTGTGCTGAGGGCTTCACTCTCTTTCCTCCACATACACATGAAACTCAGGAAATTGGTATATCTTTTGAAAGTTAATTTACTACTGCATTTTTTTTATATTGAGCAAAGTCAGATATTTTTCAGAATCAAGATGTCACAAACTGGAAAATTACTTGTTAATTAAAAAGCAGATAATAGAATAAGGCATGCATAAATAAAAATCTACATACAATTTCTTCAAATGACTTCTATATACAAAGTGCACTAGTTATTTTTTATTTTTTTTTAGGACTGTGAGCCGTAATCATCAACATTATAAGAAACAGATTTGGCATATGTCGCTTTGCGTGTATGAAGTGTGTATCATTTATTGGTTTCATATTGTGAGTATTATAGAAATTAATGCACTTTTTATCCGTATTCTAAATATCTTTCCTTTCGTACTTCTTTATTACTTAGATTATTGAACTAAATCATATTTTAACATGTTTTTACTTCATCTTGTAAGTTTTTCCAAATTGTATCTCCTCGCACTGAGATACACTTTGATCTTAAAGCTCTAAATGTATAGGCACGTATATTATCGACTTTCTCTTAGTCTGTAATCATAGTGAGAGACTTTCCACACTACCTGAACATTTTTTGAGCAGTTTTAAAGTCCTGCTGTCTAAGTGTAAGCATGTCATATAAGTAAGTAGGTAAGAAAGCATCTTTATTTACATAGCACCTTTCACACACTTAGTCACAAAGCGCCGTGGAGGTCTGGTCTGTCCAATGTAGCTGTTGTGTCCATAACTGTTAGGACGAACAAAATGGCAGACCCAAGGATGCAGGAAACCGTATTTATTTAACAGAAGTAGAGGGTGGGTTCCTGGGTGGCAGATGTGGAGGGGTAGACCGGGCTATATCAGGTGGAGGATGAAGGTGAACTGGAGCTGGACACACCAACGGTACTGGAGAAAAACAAAAACGCGGGTAAGTTCAGGAACAGGTAAGTAAAGTAGTCAAAAAGGCAAAGCGTAGCACCACTTCTCATGACGGAACGATCTGGCACTGGAGAGCAGGTCTGCATGGCTGTTGATTGTTGATTGTTGATTGTTGATTGTTGATTGTTGATTGTTGATTGTTGCTGGTGCAGGTGCGCAGCTCCCCAGGTGCAGGTAACGAGGAGTCTCAGGAAGGGAGGAAACAGGAGGGGAGGGGTCGAACAGGAGGAGCTGGGGAATGAGCTGCAACAATAACAAAAACACAAATTAGCTTTTTTTCTTATTGTACAATGTATACAATCTTTGAAAACATGTGACCTGAGATCTAATGAATATAATGGCAGAAGAAAATCTACTACTACTACTGCTACTACTACTACTACTAAATAATAATAATAATATTGTTTCATCCCCAGATATGTGATCACCAACCCCCCGTACGAGTTCGAGCTGGTGCCCACAGACCTGATCTTCTGCCTCATGCAGTTTGACCACAACGCAGGCCAGTCGCGGACCAGCTTCTCCCACTCCTCCCACTCCTCCCATTCCTCCAGCAAAAAGAGCTCGTCTGTCCACTCCATCCCTCCGTCCAACCGGCAGAACCGCAGCAGCAAGAGCAGAGAGTCCCGCGACAAGCAGAAGTACGGGTACATTCTCAACTGCTCCAGACTCCTGCATGTTCTGTGTGTGTGCGCGAGTGTGTGTTTGTTTGTGTGTGCGTGTTTTTGTGTGTGTAAAGTGGAACGTATTGATGATGTTGTCTGTTGTACACTGCAAAAATAGGCTTTACATGATAATACAAAAGAAAGGAAGGTAGCTCACCCATCACCTGTACTTAAATTAGCAGCACGTTTTGATCTTAATCCATAGAACTTTCTCAAGGGAATGAAAGCTTAGCCGCGAGTTTGAGATTTATAGCTTGTGTGTGTGGTTTGACACCTGAGCTTTCATTCCCCTGAGCAAATTATTTGGATTAAGAACAAAAAGTAGGAAAATCTTGCGAAGTAAGTACATATGATAGGTGGGCAACCCTCCTTTGTTTTGAAAAATCCCAGTACGACTGAGAGCTTTCACAAAAAATAATAATACAACAATATTTGACCAAACGTAGTTAATTTCCAAGATTTATCTTTCATGCATTTTCATGTTTTCCAAATAAGTGATAAAAATCCAACCTATCCAACCTAGTCTCTACTGTAAACCAGTGAAAACACCAGAGGAAAGATATGTGTATCAACTACACAATAATAAGTTCTTCAATTTATGAACCACTAAGAGCTATTTTGGCAGCTAAACTAGATTGAAACGTACCATTTTGTCACATAGCTTTACAAATAAAAAGCAGGAGCACGCCAGACTCCACCCACTTCCTCAAGTCTCCATTTTAAGACCAGACTTGAGGAAATGGGTAGAATCTGGTGTGCTCCTGCTTGGTTTGGAATGACATCCTGCAGCCACATAAAACCCTGGGAGGACCGCTTTGACACCCCTGATACAGATCGTTCTCACAATATCCCAATTTTTTTGAGTATGTTTGTCTATTCGTAGATCAAAAATCTTATTCCTAGTAAAGCCATGTGCATTTTGGCAGTGTACAGAGTGTGCCTTGTCCTCTATGGTCTCACACCTGCCGCTTCTGTCCTGTGCATGTGGACGTCTCTCTGCTTCAGCGCTCCCATCTCACCGCAGAGATCACACCAACGCCTCCATGTTGTCCTTGTGGTCCTTGTCTGGGTAGCTTCACATGATCCGAGTCCGATCAGGGCCCGGCTGTAGTCTTTGAAGTGGTCCCCGTGACGTCTTACTGTTGTGTTCTAGCTTCAATCGTGGCTCTAACCATCTGCTCTTTTAGCCTTACCATTTTCCTTTTTCATCTCTTCACGACATGTCCGTAACCCTTTGTCACAAGCTCGCAAAGTGTGCGTTGTTGTATTTCAGTGTCAAAGTTAGGCGTATATTAAAAAAAGCATGCAGATTTGTTACTTATTCATTGTATATATAGTCAAAACACGAATACATCTTTGCCTTTAGAGATGTATAGATTGATTGATTGTTGGACTGGTAGTAGTGGCGTGTGCATTTGCCGTGGACACTGTCAAACCTATACTTACATTAGACCACTTGCCTCTCTTTCTGAAGTGCAACAAGGATGAATAGAATGGGCCAAGGTACGCAAGTTAACGATTCTGCATGACTTCGCCCCACTTTCCCTTGTGCCATTGGGCTCCTCTTATCATAGCTGTGCCCCGTGTGGACGCTGCTATGATGGGAGATGTTTATTTGTTCTTATTTTTTTTTACACTTTTCACACTTTTTTGGGGGTTGTACAGTTTGGAACCATGCCTCAGTTTAAGTCTTGCTTTCCCCGATGGAAGCAAACCGGTCTGCTGCTGCTGCTGTTGCTCCTCTCTCCATGGCCAGGACCATCCACGCTGCATGAGGTTTTCAGACGCCACCACTTCCTCCTCCTACACGTTTTGGATATGGCAACGCAAAAAGCTCCTGATCGCATCCTCCCCTCGCCCCGTTTCCATCCTCAGTCATGCCGCTCTCTCTTTCCTTCCCTTTCTTTTCTTTGGGACTTGAAATGGTTTGCATTGTGTGAGAGGTCTGTGTGTCTGAGCGTACGCCCTCTTTCTCCTGTCATACCAGATGTAGCAGACGTTAGCACTTTGAAAACGTGCAGGTGTTCGAATTGTGATCTAGAAATCCACACAGGGGAAATTTAAGTGTTGCATTACACATCACATTACAGTAGGACGAATGGAAAAACACTTTAGATTAGCCTTCACTAAGTAACAGCTAATTAAGTGCTATTTAGTGTACCCTAACTCTAACCTTAACCCACATGGGAAAGTGTCAGTTAGTAGTTAGTTAGATGTTGAATAAGGCCATGTAGAATAAGGATGGAAGTGTTTAATAAATACCAAATAATTAACCATATTTTTAACTCAAATTAGCAGTTAATTTGTTGTCAATTAGTAAGGGCTAAACTAAAATGTGATCAGAAAAATTACTGCAAATCAAGGGGCTGGATTCAAAAAGTATGAGTTGGTCAGCAATCAAAGGTTTTCTTTGTTTTTATTTTATTTTAACTATTTTTTGACAAATTACTTTGATTGGACCTGAGATTGGGTTGATGTTATTCCGAGCAAAATGAGTTGAACCAAAACTGGACCAAATATGTTTAACAAATGTACCATACTTTCTGAACTATAAGGCACACCTCTATTTAAGCCAGACAAGAAACATTTTGAGAAAAAGTAAAGTTTGTCCATATGTAGGCCAAACTGGTAAAAAAGTTGCAGGTTTTTCATGTTGTAATGTAGCAGATAAATGACTGTTTTAACTGGTCACAACATGATTTAACGATTTAGCTTCCATGCCGGTATTCATTCGCCAGTCTATGTGGACAATAAACAAATAGCCACTGAAACTTCATGGAATCAAACTAATAAGTCTATAAACTCTACTCAAACCGATCTATCACAACTTGAACTAGAAAATGCTGCCCTGGTCCCGGCACTGGTCCCAGCCCTGGTCCCAGCCCTGGTCCCAGTCCTGGTCCCAGTCCTGGTCCCGGCCCTGGTCCCAGTCCTGGTCCCGGCCCTGGTCCCGGCCCTGGTCCTAGCCCTGGTCCCAGTCCTGGTCCCAGTCCTGGTCCCAGCCCTGGTTCCAGCCCTGCTCCCAGTCCTGGTCACAGTCACAGAGGCAGCATGGTGGCCCGTGACCAATGGCAGCTGTAAATTGAGGTTTCTGAGTGAACTTCCTCCATGTATTTGTGCGTCCGCCCTGAGCTCCAGAGGGAGATAGGACCAGTATGTCGGCTCACCTCAGGCTCCACTCTGCACTTTAAACGTGTTTGTGAGGTAGACTTGTGGAATTCTACCCACGAGGAACAGACCGTGGGGGCGAGGAAGTGAGGGACCAGGGAGAGAGCAGAGATTACCAACTTCTTCCCTTCAGACAGCATGTCCAGGGCTGGGGACAGGTCTTAAATGATACATGATTTTCAGTACCATGACCTGAGCAGTAGAACTTTTCCATTTTGTAAACTCTACTACTACTACTTTTGAGATACACTTTAATAGGAATCATATAAAACAATATAAGTTTGAGGGGACAATCACAATTCCATTCAATTTATATTGTACAGTATTGCTCTGAATCACAGCCGCAGTCTCGTCTCAAAGTTGTCGATTCCTCAATAACAGGTTCAGAGAGAAAGAGCCAGTTTTAAAGGTACTCTGTATAATTTTTACAGTTGCTCCAAATGAAAAAATCATGTTTACCAAAAACAAATTTGACCTTTTGAAGAATATTTACCTCCACCATGTTTTTGAATTGTTGTCATAGACTTAGAAGTTGAATTATGAATGTAGATGAGGCTGGAGGACTCTATATGTCAATGTGCCATCTTGAAATACAGTGGTTAATACAGTAAGGGACAAAAGCAGTTTGAGCGGGAGTTGGAGACCACTGTCAAAGACGACATATTGTCTTGCGACGCTACCGTAGTACCGTAATTTACAATATATGATCTCAATTCTAGATGGGAGTAAAAGCTACACATTGTACCTTTGAACATAGGAAATGCAATAATAACAAACTCATAGGACTCATAGGGAACAGGTTGACAAATGTCCTTCAATTCCTTCAATGTCCAGGATTATCACTGCCCTTAGATCCTGCTGCATCGGGAAGGAACAACTCCAAATATCAGTGGGAAAAAAGTGAGAAACTTCAATGAGACCCATTTTGAGAGAGAGATCTGCTCGCATGGATGGACAGGCCGTAGAACGAGGACAGAGGCGGTGCCAGCGGTCACACACTTGGAAAAAGTTATTAGCCACATATTATTTTCCCTGTGCCATTTTCTGTTACATCTCTATTTCCTCCGTGGCAGTAGAACTTTAAAAGCTGGGGTACCTAACTTCCAAAGCACAAATGATTTAACTTACAACAGCTTGAGTTTTCACATGCCTCTTTAGATCAGATTTCTTAGAGAGAAACCTGAAAAAGAGTATACACTGCAAAAACTGATCAAATATTAGGTGATAATTGCTCAAATGGAGTGGTTTTTATCCTAATTTGAGCACATTCTGACTGTTTTAAAACCAGATTTGCCAATGGGGCAAAGCCATTTAATCTGATTTCCATACAGTTGTGTTAAGTAGTGCTGCTGTATTTTCTCATTCCAAGGGAGACATTTCTTGTATCTTTTTAAAACAAGATAATTTACTTTGTCTCGTTTGTAAATCTTCTTTTAAGGCAGTCAAAATGTGCTCAAATGAAGATACATTTTCCACTTATATTTAATCCCTTTTTGCAGTGATTACCTTCACTCTTTCTTACAAGTAAATGAAGGATAAAAACATGTTTTCTGATTAAATGAAAAATACAACATGTCGTGGTCTGATTTGTCCGAAACATTTGAGTTATTTTTCTCTGTGTTTTGTATTATTATATTATTTATGAAACAAAAAAGAGATTCCCCAGCTTTAACTGTTTTCCTTTTATTGTTAGAGTTTAATTGAGCAGTTACAAGACCTTCCATCGGAGCACTGGTCGAACACACGCTAATGCCGACCTTTGTCCTCGCACAAACACGATCTATTAGAAGAAAAACACACGACTGAACAGCACTTAAACTGAGGCTTATGGTTTTCAAACGTCTTCTTTGGCTTTCCCAAAAACCCACTGACTCTCACTTCCTTCTTCTTCCTCCTAGAAAAGAAATGGTTTACAGATGAACCAGACAACGCCTACCCAAGGAACATTCAGATCAAGCCCATGAGCACGCACATGGCCAACCAAGTCAACCAATACAAATCCACCAGTAGTCTGATTCCACCAATCAGAGAAGTCGAAGACGAATGCTGAATCCCGCCTCCTTGTGGACTGCTCTGCGGGCAGCACGGCGGGCGTCCGGAGGGAGACCGTGATATCTGGCCACGAAAGGGACCTCCTCCAATGTGTATACCTTTAATGTAACTTCCAACGCTTTATTTATTGTCTATTCACAGACATGTACATAAAGACAATCAGCTAACACAGATTGTACAGCCCCCCTCCCCCTAGCACTTTTTGGAATTATTTTAGAGCTGCGGGATAAAAAAAATAGTACTTCCTGCGACTCTCTGCAATAGTTCGCAAGCTCTGGATGTGACCAGACTCTATGCCCTAGAGTCGCTAGCGTGTGGTGGATGATGGCTACACGGTTTCGCATTCAGTAACAAATAACAGTAAAGTTTCGTTAAGTAAGTTGTCCGGTCGAGAACATCCGCTGGGCTCGTCTACTTCTGTTCAATTTTTGCACTAAAAACGGAACAACCGGAACGCGCCCCAGAGTCCGAGCAGGCCGAGCGGAGAAGGAGGTCTGCCTGGCTGCGTGCGGAGGCTTTCTAACCCCCAAAACGTGCGTCTTGGTGTCCTCTTGGGTTGTTCGGAGCGGAGGCGTGGCTAATGCGTGCTTGCTTGTGTGCGTGCGCGAATGGGCGATAGCGATACAGTGCCATCTTCACCATTGGCTTATTTACAGGATGCTCAGATGAATATGTGTGCTCCTATCAAAGCCTTTCTACAACACTAACAAAACAGGCTTTTGACTTTGTGTTGCATTCTCCAAAAACAAACCGAACCGGGACCGAGCTCCGGAAAAACCGCAGGAGTAAAAATATATCACATGAATTTCTGAATGTTGGCAAAAAAATTAAAAAAGTCAAACGCCACATAGCGCAGAGTGGGCAAAAAAAAAACGGGCCCTCCCTTGACCGCGAGCTCTCGCCTGGCACGGGGCTGGCACAGTAGGCCGGAACAATAAGCTTGGATGTTCTCTGTGTCCAGCCCAGAGCCGTTAGCGTGAGCCTGGGTGCGGCGCTCGGTCCAGTCGGGAGAGAATGCAACGGTCCGGTGTGTTCTGACACTGATGATCCACGTCGGGATTTATGATAGAGTTATTTTGTATCCATAAGCATAATCAATTTGTACTTATTTTTATAGGAACTGAAAGTGTAAAATGAGACGAAGCATATTTATTATTATATTTAATGAACATGTCATGTCCACAAAGTTCTGTTGGTCACCGCTGCTTTTAGTCCGACGGTAAAGCTGTAGTACCTGAGTGTGTAGCCACGAAAAAATGACTATGTTTAAAAAGTCCATGTGAAATCGCTGTCAAAATTAGCGGCTCCATCTCTAGTTTTCACATGTAGTCACTCACAACCAATCAGCTCTCGGTGTATGAAAAGACAAAGCAAGACCGGCTTATTTGTATAGCACAGTTCATACACAAGGAAACTTAAAGTGCTTAACAAAACCAGAAGTTAAACATTAAAATCACACACGGCTTTCAAATCATAAAGAATCATAGTGCATAAGAGTATTTTTTAACCTGGATTTGAACTTTGTCGAAGTAGAAGCCTGTCTCACATTTTCAGAAAGACTGTTCCAGATTATAGCAGCATGAGTATGAAATGCTGCTTCCCCCATGTTTAGTCCTGACTCTGGGCACCAGCAGGAGGCCAGATCAAATGTTTTCCAATAGGGTAAAGACGGCATAATTTGGCCTGATTTGTTCACTATATGTTACTTGAATAAGATTTTCTGTCGGGACAAAAATAAATATATTAAAGAAGCAAAACATACAAACTACATGTAGGTACTTCAGCTTTGATCTCATGTTGCCCTGTGTTAACCGGTGTGGTCACTCTCAATCTAGTACGGCGACAAACTGTGGGCAGAGCACTAACAACACAAGCTGCTTTTATGTAACATTGACGGCTCAGACAGATCTCTTTCCCCTGGACACTCGGACCCCTGGACACTCGGACCCCTGGACACTCTGACATTCGGACCCCTGGGTTGGACATGTCCCCGATCTTCTGTTGTGGAGGATGACCTACATTAGGTTCTTCATCTCTGTCACTCTGTCTTCAGTCTGTGTCCATTCCCACTGTTCACATACAGTAGAATACATGTGTGTGAAAGTGTGTGTCAGCCTGCAGCCACAAAGCAGAGTGTAGTGTGTGTCGGTGTGTGTGTGTGTGTGTGTGTATACGTGCGCTGTAGTCATACTATGGCAGTGGTTCCCAACCTTTTTGCTCTTTTATTTAACCCCTCACCAACACAGTCAGGGCACGTGTAGTGTAAAAGAAATCGTTCACGCACCACAGTCAAAGTCATTTTGGTTCGTTTTACTAAAGTCTTGAAGAAAGAAAGATCTTTTGCATCCTTATATATTATTATAAGTTTTTTCTTACCAAATTATTACAAGAAATTTAACTCAACCTTTTGATTATTCTGAATACAATTAATATATGCTGCTTTGGACTAACTCATAATTAATTAAGGCTGATTATTGTAGGGCCAAGTCTATCATAATCAGGGCTTTTCTCATATTGGAATTAGCATATTCTCCTATTGCATTTAGGTTTCCTCCGGGTGCTCCGGTGTCCTCTACCACTAAAAAACTTGTACAATCATTCCCCTGAAAAAGAGATTCAGAAATCTCAGTTGGACTTTCCTGGTTGAATAAGTTTTGATAAGATAAAACTTTATTGATCTCACAATGGAGAAAAATAAAAGGTCAATAAATAAATAAAAAATTAAGTATTATTATTGTTGATTCTGTTCTGGGTGCAATGTTGAGAATAATATAAACACTACGGCTGAATATTAGCTTTATTAAGATGCACAACATGCCATAGTCTCATGCCAAGTTTTGATCATCTCACACATCCCCTGTAATGCCCTCTCGTACCCCTAGGCGTCCACGCACCCCCTTTTGGGAAACACTGCACTATAGTATCCTCCAGCCTCGCCGTTCTCCAGTGTGAACTTTAAACTGTGACGACACGTAGCAGAACAGACTCATTTCTCACAAATCAATCACACACATTTAGTCCAGCGCTGACATGACGTTACACAGAAGGAACTTTGTGAACATGTTTACAAGAAAAAAACGCATATATAGATAAAAGAGATAGATATTATAGACAAACGCGGAAGAAATACAAAATATTCTCAACAAAAAAATAGCAACGGAAGGTAGCACCAGATCAGAAAGAGCTTAAGTTTTCCAATTGTCACATATTTTTTATTTTACAGCAGGATTTACATTCCATTTCAATCTGTCTCAAGCAGTCCGTCCAATGGCTTTGTTTGTTTACACAGTATTCGCAAAGTTTTGACGTTTTAAGAATACTACTACTACTACTACTCTAAGCGCTGCACAACTAGCATCCACGGAAAAAAATACAAAAAAATAAGTTTTCACCTCACTGCGACGGCTCTCTCTGTGGAGCGCTCCTTTTTGCCTGTTTGTTTGTGTATAGGCTACCTCTAAAATACAGTTTAGAGCGTTTTCATTCAAGTGCCATGGAAAACCGCATCTTTCAGTCCTTCAGAAAGTCCTAGCTTCCCTTCCCCCACTGTGAAAAACCACGTCTGGTGCTGCCGCGGAGAACATCCAAGCCGTCAAAGCCTCCGTGGCAGCGCCGTGCCGGGCAGAGCCGAGCGGTCAAAGGGGAGCCCCGACTAAGTCCCACTGAAGCGACAAGTGGCGTTTGCTTTTTCCCCAATAATATTAGTAATAACAGCTAGAGACTTTCTTACGGACGACTGAAAGATGCCCTGGGATCATGTGTTCTTAAATCAAAAAACATCAAGCTGTCGTTTTTTGTTTTGTTTTTGTTTTTCTAAAGGATTTAACTTATTGGCTGGGGTTAGTCTGGACAATTATAACCTTACGGGAGGAGAATAACAAGTCTTAACATTATAAAAATTGCATTCAGCAGTTGTATTATTACTTTTTTTATGATTAAGAATTGCTTTTTTTTGTGTTGGCTGCGTATCAGTCAAGTAGAATTCAGGACAGGGCTTAATTAAGTCTGGACCCGGATCTCGCCGCCGCCGCCGCAGCCCGAGTGGTGTCATTGCAGTCATATGGAGTTTGTGATGGATACATGCGTTGTTGGATGGTGCTGAGTTGACCTACCTGACCGACTGTCAAATATAATCTGCTGATAATTATTGTCCTGTACAAAACGTTTGTACATAGATTGTACATGGTTTCTTTTTGTATTTTCTCAAATTAAAATGGATGTATTTGTGTTCTAAAATTGATCTTTTGGAGTTTTTCTTTGCATGTCGGATGAGTTACTTATAGACTCAATTCAATTTGTTTATTTAATTTCTGGTTGGGGGGGGCAATCAAAGCCACATAGCACTGGCTCCTCGCTGATCCTCCGGCAGGTGGTGGGTCCACGGGAAGAGGGCTGCTGCTTTAACGAAGATACGGCCTTTGTGTTTTAGCGGGGCTTCGGGTAATGTGGAGTTGGAGAAGTGTCTTGCCCAGGGACACAACGACAGCGGACATCAGTGGGAGCAGATGACATAGGTCATGGTTTAGAGACCATTGCTCTACCAACTGTCACCCTATAATTTGTTTTTGTGTAGTCCTAACATAGGCTTAAAATACAACAGCAGTTGTCTGGGAGGACTTCACAAAGTTGTTGATACACCAACAATGGATCAGAAAAAACACACATTTTGAACATGAGAAATGGCAGTAATAACACATAGGTCCATAGGAGAAACTTTTCTGAGACTCCTGCATTGGAAACAAACAATTAAAAGACCTACTTTTAGACTAGTCCTATAGGCTTTGCTAATTATTTGGATTTGATATCAGTCTGAATGCTTAAATCTGTTTGCACACATCAGCTAAGCTAACAAATAAGAGAATACAACC